TAAACAGTTAGAAAATCAACAATATTGCCTATTATACTATGACACAAGTTCACCATATTGTAAAAACTATAATACACATATAATACATTAGAAGAACCACCCATATGATCCTTTTATCAAAATCTCCATGGTTTCTATGCTTTAACCAATTTGTTCATGCATCCTGCATGGTGGCCAATATTATTAACAATGAACTAGCAAGGCCTGTTCTAAGATTCATTAAGGCCTCACAGTTCATTGAACGTGTGAAAAGCAACCGATTTATGAAGGTTCAAAAATGTGTTTAAACTTATGTATATGTAATTTCAAACAAAATCAGAGTAAACCATGAAGTACGGTACATTTTTGAAGGTAAAGTGAATGAAAAACCACAAGCATTTCTTCATTTGAGGGGTTCAGGAAAACAGTGCTATAAACAGTACGGTAAGATGTAGGATTCTATGAGACAAGACTTGACTTTTCTTGTTTACCTTTTCATTAGGGACAGCAATATTGTGAGCCGATTTAGGAATATGTCTGGCATGTGGTGCATTTTACATAAGGCACAAGCTGCAATACTGACAATACTGGTGTGTACCAGCCCATGTAACCGCTCTGGCCCAACTGTTTAAATGAACAAAGGACTTCCCAATTTTGTAAATGGGCCATATGGTTTACAGTATAGACACATTAGCAGTCTGATTAACGAAGATAAAATTCAGAAGATGTAGTACCGATCTAATTTATAACTTCTCTAAACCATAATGCAAGTTCTCTTGCAAGAAAGAAGCAGCCCATGTCTACCTTCAACCCCCACCCCCCATTTTACGCTGCAGCCTCTGTGAAACTCTTTGGTATTCAACACTTTTAAAACGGTCAGAATCCTGTGTTCCCTTTGCACAAAGTTTCCATCCTTTGACCGTTACATCGCCACAGGACTCAGCAGGGATGTAGGTGTCATGAAAAAGTGTGCAGTGGGGGACACAAGCATGGGAATACCCCGAAAGTGTAAAACGCCAAACAATTTTATGGCAGCTACAACTCTGGAACAGAGGGAAGGTAGAAAACACAGCCTGGCAGAGAGGGGAGTATTCTACATCCTCTACTGCAAGGGACTTGCATTATTTTTAGAGAATGACAGGGTCTATTAAAAGCAGACTTCAATCTAAGCATTTGGGATGGAGAAGTGTCTGAAGACATGTGTATAAATATTACTTTTATTTCATCCATGCATTCCACCAATTTTTAAGGGGTATGCCAACCTGAAGACCTTCAGTTTGATAAAGGAAATGTCCTGCCAGGGAAATGGGGAAAACAGGACACTTGCTTAATTCATGTAGAGACAAGGCAGGAGACCTCAGTATGAGATCTTGGAAATAGAACAGAGGTTTAGTAACATTTATACTTGATGTCTCCATTTGAATGCTTGCTAAAGTCCACCTTTAAATAGTTACAAATAAAAAGGTGATCTTTAGAGAAAAAAGAAAAAAAAAATCAGCTAAAACCAAATTTAGAAAAAATTATAAATCTGGAATTTTAGGCAACTGAAAACTAAAGTTTAAGAATAAAAAATTAAATCTGCACCATTCTCTTCACAAATATCTGGCAAAATCAAAATATATAGATGGATGGTTTAACCAACAAATTAACAATTTATGTAAGCCTGGCAAACGGGCTACCCCATTATGAAAGCGCACATTTAGCATTGGACGCCATCTTGTAAGCTTTTCAGAATAAAAATTATAAAATAAAACAAAAACTCCAAAGCAAAGCTTGACAGGTCATTGTCTAATATGAATATGCTGAGTTACTTTTTGTGACAAAAAAAAAAAAAGGAGAAGATTTTGCCTGGTGCCGACTCGGCCACTTTTTGCCTCACAGGTTTGGTCTACTTTCTCACCACTTCTGGTACAAAAATAAAACATTTCTGGGCATATATTCAATGGGAATTTTAGCGCACAGAAAAGGAGAAAGTTATGTACAAAATTATACATCTTAAGAAAACATCTGTACATAATATATAAATCCTTTGTTTCCCTTCCAATTTTCCCACATATAAAGGTCTCCACATCAACATGACAACAGTGAAATGTAGGCGACGTTGCAGGTAAGGACTGACAGCTGGCTTTACTACAGTCCTGAGAGGAAAAACTCCAGTTTTGCCAGACAAAAAAAAATTATATATTTTATATAACCCGATTTAGTAATGTATTGTTATTAAAATCTATGCTTCAATTCAAATCTGCAGGCAAAATCTACATGTCAAAAATGTTACTTCTCTTATGTGTAACTTTGCCAACAGTTCTTCGGCTGAAGACAGGATTCCCAAAACTTCAATCCCACTGTACCTGTAACTGGCTCAAAATGATAGGCATCCCTAGCAACATGCTGCACTTCATTCATCATCTCTGGTGAGATACAGGCAGTATGCTGCATGTCTGCAGGGATGCTACGATTCTTATAACACCAAAACTGATGTGATTCAACAGTATGTAGACTTCACCACTTAGCCACACTATGAGCAAGTGCAGAGCAGAAGAGAGGTAGGAAGGCTCTACAATAAATGTCACAATTTTTGCAATTTACATTAGTTAACCTGGAAAAGAATTTATGTCATTACAAAACTGGAGTCTCTCCTTAAACAATCCAATTCAAAGATTCAGTCTGTGCAAAATGGATATTTCAATTTCTGGCATATGCTGGCACGTTGAAGAACTTGAATAACGCTTACATGTAACTTTTACATGTGAGCTTCAGCTTGTTTAAGAGCTGAACGTTTTGTAAATGTTTGCAGTTCATACTGCTTCACTGCCCATGTATACAAGGCCTAATACTGGTGGTCAGAGTTTATTGCTGTGAAGCCTCATCCTTTTTGCTCCACTTTCCATAAATAAAATAAAATTTTAAAAATGGGAAATTAGTCTTTCTCATACTATACTATTCAGACTTGCAAACTCTAGCACATGTCTAAGAATCAGAGGTGACTCAACTTACCAGCACATAGCAACTGAAACATCATTGCCAGACCAATCCTTTACAATAATGTACATGACAAAGATTCTTTAGAAGCTTAGGTGGACCCAGCTATAATCAGATTAAACTACACCTTTATTAAAGGATTTGACAATCCCCTACCTCCTCTCCTGATTAAACACAATCCACCATTACTGAAGGATTATTGTGCAATGCAATGTCATATTATCTACTAAAAATAAACAATAAAAGGCATATCTTGTCTCCTAGTCCCGTTAACAAATCCATCTATCTTCACAGATATACATAATGCTTGGTAATGAGCTCAAAAGCCAGACAAAATCTGTCAGGTATAAGCTAGTGAATTCTCTATTAAAACAGGTCAGGCAGGAGAATGAAAGTGACACTAAATTCAGGAATTGAATCTTAAAACCGCATTCAAGTAAACTAAATCATTCAAAATGTATCTTATTTGCGTATCACTCAGCTGTAGATCCTCAAATCATCTCTGAATTGGTGCCGACACTTTCTGGATGGCGGCTACTTTTGTTCCCCATGGTCCCTGTGTGTGTTGTAAAGCAGCCACCGCTCCAAGCTCACTCCCATGGACTACAATCTCACATCTAGTTTACTAATTTGTATTAAGATTGTAGTCCATCAGGGAGCAAGCTTGGAGTAGTGGTTACTTTACAACACACACACAGGGACCATGGAGAACAAAAGTAGCCACCCTCCAGAGTCAGCACCAATTCAGAAATTATTTGAGGATCTACAGCTGAGTGATACACAAATAAGATACATTTTTGTTAATAGTTAGGGTACTTGAATGTATGTCTAATAGGGATGCACAGATAGTGGGTGTTCAGTATCGCGTACCAATTCATTTTTTATCCGGTACTCACCGATACCAAATACCAATACCGGAAGTCCCATTAAGGAAGCCAGGCGGTGTGTAATGACTCGCCGCCCTTTTTCCCCCGATTAGCTGGGAAGCGGTCTTCATGCTCCCTCATTACCAATGTAATTAAATGCATTTTTAAGATTTAACTCCTGTGTTTAGAATCTGTAAACCAATGTTTCCCAAATCACTCCTTGTTAAACTAGGGTTTACAATAATGCAGGGGCGCACAGATTTTTAAAATATCCCATGGCTGAAAAAAGAAAAAAAAAAAGCTTTGTGACATCAGCTGATTAGTTTGCACAGATTACTCAGGGAACCTTTCTAGGGAAGCTAAGGTGAACGTCAGATCATCCTTAAAAAGCATGAACAGCTAGTGCCAGCACTGGCTGACCAATACTTATGTGTTTTTACAGCTCTGGCCTTAGCTGAGGATCAAATACGACAACTAAGGGCACAACTGTCCAAAGCACAGAAGGACTCGTCCGCTAGCATGCTACAAGTTGACACCTTTTAACAGGATGTGAGCCAGCGTGCCGGTCAACTGTTATTTATAAGATAACCAGCATTCTATTTTTACAAACATAATACTTTATGTAGCTGACAACGACCTGGACAACCTGACATGTTAGTAGCCCTAAACAACGGGGTTTGGTAAACACTGATAGAATAACAGATTCGGGTGCATTAGACAAAGTCTCAGCCATCGTTCATTACATATTTGATCAATTAAGTAGTGGGTTAACAATATATTTTTGAAAATTTAGCAAAAAGCAAATAGGTTTCTGGTTTCCATTGCCACTTGCTCAGCCACTGGAGCGGGGAAAATGGGTCAATGTGGATTGAGAGTTATATCATGTTCCCTAGTGCTGCTTATGTGCCTTCGAGTAAGTAACAAGCATCTGTAAATTTATAAAGGCATTGGATTTGAGTGGCCCATTAACTTAATACTGAACTACTGTGACACTATACAATTAAATATTTAGGTTCTACTCAAGTTGGGTCAATTTAATCTTAAAAAATAAAACTATGCATTTAAAGACTTTCAAAAATATTTCACTCTACTCTGTATATAGGACCACATTCACAAAAAAAGAAAGAAAAAAAAACACAGTCTCTTGCCTTTGGCTTTCATACAAGTGTCGCTTATTCACTGACTTATACAATCAATGGATTTACTTTCCTCAATAATGTGGGGAGCAGAAAAAAAAAAAAGAAGGTCTTGTTTGAATCTGACTGTCTTCCATTTGTGTTCCAATGGTAAAAAGTTCTGCAAACACTCTTTAAGAGGGAAAAATATAATATGTACAATTCTGCTGGTTTCTTTATCTCCTCCAAGAGCGGGACTCAGCTTCCTCTTCGTCTTCATCGTCATCTTCATGAAGAAATGGATCTGACGTTTCAGCCTCCTAAAAGAAAATTTTCCATTTGTAAAATATAAAATGGCATATATTTAAAATGCTTCTGAGATCATTTAGAATTCACTGACAGGTGCATTTGAGCTCTTTCTGACCTGTTTCATGTGGGTTTTGCATTCCTGTAGACTTGTATAGGAATATAAAACCTGAGTGTAAGGAATAAAAGCTAGTCAACCTATTATTTAGCAAGAGATGTAAACTATTGTATATTTTAAAGTAAGAATAAACTTTCAGCTAATATTGTAAGGTTAACTTTAAAAGCTAAATTTCCAGTTTAATTTTGGAGAGTTTCCATGGCAATTTGTGTTTATTCAATGAGAGAGCATTTGTGAGGTCAGATACTAATGCTGTAAGAGAAGACATGGTCCACAAATGGCATTCCATTTCATCCCAAAAGGTGTTCAAGAAGGTTGACCTCAGGGCTCTGTGCAGTCCACTTCATTTCCGACACAAAAAGCTAATTATGTATTTCCGATGTCCTATCCTCCTGTAGGCGGAAGTATAACCTGAAGTTGAAAGTCTTACTGTGTCCCTCAAAGTACGGGAAATATTTTTTTGTATCATTACTCAGTCAGATAAATATGAAATTGCAGATCCATATATTTCATATACACTACATGCTGGTGAGGTTCTAAAGTCTTCAGTTCTTCAACACTTTTGAGAGTGTGATTTGAGCCACTGCTGTTCACCTCTATTCAGAACACACTCAAAGCTAAATGATTACAGATGGGGCAAGGTCTCTAGTTCACACTGCTCTGACTGGAATCTCAATTAGAAAGTCACTGTCCAAAAGAAAGAAGCTATTACTGGATTGTCCTGCTATAAAAGCTCAGGACGCTCTCTGCAAGAAGACTTAATACCGAGAAAAAGTACATAAGATACGTTTATAAGCTTGCAAAAATTCACAAAAAACATTTTCAAAACGAAATCAATAACCATTATAATTTCCCAGTAAACATGATTATTACAGGCACTGAACATTTAAAATATACCTCTTCCTTGGACTCTTCCTCCTCCGCTTCAGTGGATATGGAAGGAGTCTTTGGTTTGTGCCAGCACACTATTAACTTTCGACCTTTAAATTTTGACCCTTGGTTAGCAGCCTAAAAAACAGAATGCCACAAAATGAATGTTAGATATTTTATTGTGCGGAATGATTTAAATAGGGGACCTCTTTACTCATTACAGTTTATCAACGGTTCAACCAAGATTCACACATTTTCTAACAATCTTAGGTGAAAGATGTATGCATCTTGGGTGATCGTGTGAAACCAATGATAACAGACCGGACTGTGCTTATGTTTACTGAATTGACTGGAAGGACAAATTAACAAAATTTGCGGGAGAAAAACTAGGAGGTTTTACATCAAGAAAAGTTACTTTTCAGTGTAAGAACAATTAAAACACAAAAAAGGGTTGACAAATCAGGGTAAGATCAATATCCCACAATAAACTCAACAAGCAAAGCATCTTTAGTATAAAAACACACACTTTTTTTGTCTAATTCACAGGGAACACCGCAGTTCTAGGGAATTTCAATACCAGTCACAAAAATGGGTTGTTAATCAGATAAGCAACAAGCAGGTAATACACCGACCAAACCCAACCATGGCTGTCTTAAAAAAATAGAATTTTGTACTCATTGTAGAACCCATTTCTTGGGGTCCATTGAGGGACACATGAGTTTTTACCTTTGGGTTATACTGCCACTTACAGGAGGTTTGGATACTGGCAAACAAAAAAATGTATCCTCTGGTTTGTAGGGGGCAGTAGCAAGATCAAGATCATAAAAACAGAGGAGTGGGACTTGTGTCTCTCAAATGGATGTAAAGAAAAGGATTTTATAGTCGGAAAATCCTATTTTCTTTCTCGTCCATTGAGGGATACAGGAAATCTTAAACCTTCAGGTTGTACAAAGACAGTCCAACTGAAGGGTGATCAACAGAAAAATAACCTCCAACAAGCCCAACATATACAAGTATACTGTGGATTGCCTGCAGCTGAAAAGCCGCTTCAAGTCTATAACCCCCCCATGTAGTAACAATAATATAAAACAAGACCAGGTGGTAACCTAGCATGAGCAACCAACGCCTGATGCCAGAAAAAAACAAAACAATAAAATACATAATTAGAGGAGATGAGTCTTACAGGAGAGGAAGAACCCTGATCTATAGGCCATAAGCTGGGAAAGGGGTCTGCCTGATCCAGCCAGAAGGGTGTAACGAAACTAGAATCCAATAGGGACCAACCGAAGATCAATAGTGAGAAAAAAAGAAAAAAATAGAAAAAAAACTTAGTCTGAACCGTGGACAGCAAGGAGAAGAAGCTCCCCTCTGAGCGCTGTGGCTGGTAAAAGGATGGAGATCAGAGCCAATCAGAAGGCGGCCCTCAACTCACCCGATACCATTTTGAGTCCAAGAAAACAGGGTCCCATGCATTAAATGGCTATCAGGACACACATTTATCTCACCAAGGCGATAACTACGAGGGAAGAACCCTTAAGGTAAACTTAGGGCAGAATTGCTTTCAAGAAGTGTAACGGCAGATCCTTAGAACATAGAGAACCAAGGGTCGATTCCACAGAGACAGCATGGCCCTATACAAGGGTTAAAACAAAGCATAGAAAGTAGATCTCTTAACCATGGTTTTGCAAGAAGAATGCAGACTTGATAAAGCCGAGGACCAAGCTCAGCTTCCACATATCTTCAAGGAAGCAAAACACCTTTGGGATGAAAAAGAAATAGAAACCATGCTGAAACATTCTGCCTAGCTTTGATCCTTGAAGAGTCACAGGTCTAGAGATGCTTCTGACTTCAGATCCAACAAAGTCTTCAAGATTTCATGAAGCAATAGTCAGGAACCTTATAAAGCCAGCAAAGGACACCACAGGTTCTCCACACAGGAGGTCGTCTAGGTGTCCCACAATTGGCTTTCTGTGATAAGGCCTTAGGGTAGACCCCAGAAGCAGCACCCTGAAAAAAAACTGGGGGTGCAGGGGCAAGAGTGAAAAGTCAGAGCCCTGGAAGGACAGTGTTCAGTAGGCACGTGCCCTAGCTGACCACAGGGTTCAGGGTGCCCCCCGTGGGGAGGGAAAGGGATAGTAGATCCAACGGATACCAAGCAAGACGTTAGGACTCTCTGATCCAAAAAGAGGGAGAGGTTTCATCTGGGGGAGAGAATGGTGACCAGGTAGAATTAAAGCTGCCAAGACCAAACTGGCACAATGATCTCTTAGTCCAAAAGGGTCAGAGGTGGATCTCCCAATTTGTGGTGACACAGGTTGAAGGCGAGAAGCTGGAGAGCTGGGGGTGAAGGTCCTGAACTATTACTATCTGCACCTAATTGGCTGAAGGGCAAACTACCCAGGAGTATGCAAGGATCAACAACTGTCCCCCAACTTATGCTGATGATGGCTTCTCTGAGGGTTTAGCAGGCTTCTTATCCCAGACCTTGTGCATTGCCAGAGAACCAAGTATGGGAGGCCTAGGTGTGCCTACTAGAGTAGAGAAAGAAGCAGGAGACGGCTTAGCTGACCTTTCTCTGACCTCCGGGTAAGGCATGTGGGTGATCTCTTGTGACACCATTAGGAGAGTTTGAGCTGGGGTCACCCACCCCCTCTATGTCTTGAAACAGACATTTTAATAATGCTCAGCAGTAAAGCTCAAGGTACGAGGCAAGGCCTCAAGTACTTATAAAAACCTATATAGCTGGTAGCCATTAAAGTGATATTAAAGTTAGAAGTTAGAAGCCATTTCAAATGCTGAATTAAAATCACTTACAATGAATGCTGCTCCTCAATGTTTAAAAGATTGTTTCCTGCAGAAATAGCTAATCCCGTAAGCACTGGCCTTGATATCCTGTTTTAGGGTGGCCCCTTTCCCTTGAAGGGTCCTATGGAGCCACTCTTGTGTGTGCTTGTGGAGACGCGCACGCAGCTTACTATCACATAGGCACAGCAAGGCAATACACTCCCCTTTTGCCTCTTCCTTCCTCCCTTCTCCAACCTAGTAGATGGACAGTTGATGGAGACTGCTCTGTCTTTTGTGATCTTGTACCCGACAGATAATTCAGGGAACCGGAGTTTAGAGAATTGGAGCCAGTTGTTCGGAAAGATGATGATTGTAAGTCCTTAAGCAAAAATGTAAAGAAATACTTTGCTGGGTGATGTATATTTGTCTCATTATTATTGTTATGTTTGTTGTTTCATTATTTATTTTTTTTGTTGGGCGTTTAAGGGTCAGATAGCCAAAAGGTGCCCAAAGTCACTGAAGTCAAGCAGTAGGAATGGAACAAAGACTGAAGTTGCACATAGCTCTTTGGATGCAACAGCAGTGGGAAGATGTTGCCACAATGCTGATTGGCAGGAAAGAGAGCGTGAAGAGCACATTACTCTCCACTCAGTGGATGATGTCAGGGCTCAGCCTCCCAACATTAACTTTCTGCAGTGTAGGAAGCGGCAGAAAATGGGCATTTTGAAAGGCACTTAGCGGTTTTAACAAAATGAGGTAGCTCCTAGTGCTCAACCAATACAGCCCACTCAAAGAGTGAGTCATCAGAGCCAGGGCAAGTGATGAGGCAATGCCATTGGCTCTAGACCCGGAAAATGTTCAGCGGCTAACTTGTTACCAGACTGAGGTCTGGAAAAGTGCTTCAGGTGCAGCCCAGTGCCAAAAGGTCACTTCCATGATAGCTCCGCAATGTCCAGCTCTGTCTGTGTTATCAGAGACCAGCTCTAGCAGCCATACAGCAAAGAATCTTGGTTAAAGAAAAATATTAAATGAATAATAGGGTAAAAACCTTTCCCAGCAATGGAACAAAAGACATCCTTCCTCCTATGACACTGGCATACTGGTAGTAGGAGGGGTTATCCTGAGCTGGCCTAGAGCTTTTTTTGTTTGCCAGTGTCCAATACTCTCATAGATGGCAGTATAACCTGAAAATAAAACATTTCATACGTCACTCAACACAAGAAAGAGAAGGTCATTTTTTGTACTCGCTGTAAAATCCTTTACAATGAGCTCACTTCAGACTTCCATGTATAAGCCCTGCGCCTAGAAGGATGGACACTAAGCAAAAGCAGCAGTGCACTTGTTCTGCACAGGTGTTAAAAGCACTGCAAAAGCTAGAACTCAGGAGTAGTTATAAAAGGAAGCCGAAGCAACAAAACTTCCATAAACACAGACTAATGCAGTTGTCACAAAACCAGAACAGATGACTGGGAGCTGATCTTTGAGAAAAGGATTTACAGCAAGTACAAACAAACCTACTTTCCGTTATGTTTTGGCAAACTGATTTCTGAGGAAACGGGGCAAAAGAATCTCTAAAAAATATTTATAGCATAATTTCCCCATTCAGTGATAATGTCTTGAAATACACATGAAATTCATATATATAGTTCTCAAATCTGAAATGACCAGTGAAGAACAAGCATTCTGTGAACTGGTTAGAGATGCAAGGTAAAACAAACTAGACACCTGAACCCAGTTTTGTCTTGTGCTCTTTTGTTTCTATGGGCCCTCATTCAACAGGGCATGGTCACAGTGCTGAGGGCAGGTTCCCAGCACAAAACCGCAATGCTTACATGTGGCAGCACAGAATAGGGCCAACCTCTGTGCTGCCACATATATTTGTAAAGCCGATGGGAAGGGGTCAGTTTTAATGTTCATTACAGTAGAAATGCAAAAGTTTGCCCTATAGTGATTAAATAATACACAGCTGCTCATTTTTTCATTTTTAGACTGAAATGCAGTTTACACTAATATAGAATCTGTATAGTGTATGTATCTTTTTTATCACAGCAATGCCATAAAGTTTAAACAAGTAAAACGTAAACTAAAAAGGGATTTTTGTTTGGTCTTACTCAAATGTATTCTAAAAAAAATTCTGCTTACACTTTCAGCCTCTTGCCTTGTCTTGAACGTTAAAATAACAGTCGGCGGAAATTCCTCTTCTTTCAAATCATCAACTTCACCAAATTTCTATGATTTAGAATGAAAAAAGAATTTTACAAGGTGACAGTAAAAAGACAATATTTGCAATACCTTTGCAAATGTACTTCCCAAAATAAATACATATATCTCGGAGCATACTGTATAAATGTGAATTGGTTTTGGTTCAAAAACTTCCAAGTTTTTGGTGCTGATATTTCAGGCACCCAATAATTTATTATATTATCCTTTTATTGTTCTTAGTAAAAAGGGGTAAAGTTGTGGATAATCTTAAGTTTCCAGAATAAGGTCAGTAAACTCTTTTAGGGGTTAATTTAGCATCAGGGATTATGTTGGGGTTTAGAGGGTTACATGATAAAGGTTGATTGAAGGTTAAAAAAAAGGTACACATTGGGAATAAAAGTTAAATACATCTGTTGGTAATTTGAAACCAGCTTTGGGACAAAATACAAGAAATTAAAAGCTACACATATAGTACCATACCAGCCAATTATGTTTGGATTTGGGTTCAATTACTTTTATTTCTTTTTTGTATTTTGCCTTCATTCTAACAGTAATCATGATGCAACTTATTTCTTGCCAGCATTTTGTTCATATGTCCCTTTAAGTGTTGCAGCTCTCTCACGGCATATTATGCCGCCTGACAGTCACTATTTTTGTTGTACTAATGTGCTCTAGCCACTTGTCTTACTGCTGTCCTCTGCCAGCCAGTGTCCTGCCGTTGCTATGACATCCATTGATACGGCCGATACCACGCCCGACACTGGCAGGTACGGCCTATCTAGCTGCTTGTCTACTCCTCAAGGGGTGTGGCCGAGTCCTCATCATTCGTGACATGTGCAGCTTCCCCCATCTCAGACGAAGCGGCTTCCACCAGATGGCGTTCTATGATTGGTCCTTGGGTGGGTGCAAGTCTGGTACCTTCGACAGTGGCTGACCACTCTCCGTTGCTGCCTAATGGCTGTTACACTTACTGTCAGTGGGTATTGTAACTCTAGATCCATGCATCTTGATGATTGCTGCACACATGGCTGGTAATAGAACTTTCCTTATATATGCACTGTTTATTTACCTGCATTCTTATTGCCAACATCTTGCTACATGATTACTGTATTTTGAATGTTTTTGGAGGGAATGTGATGTCATGATGATGTCCGAGAGACTTTTGGTTTGGTTCACAATCATTGTTGGTGTGTATATAGATTCCTGTGTTTCACTTGCATTGATCACTTGTTTGCCTGATGAAGGGGATCCTGTGAGACCCAGAAACGTTGTATAGAGTGTTCTACTTGCAACTAGTACGTTAATAAACACGTAGTGAACTTGCTTTGGAGTGCCGGTGTCCATCCTTTACTGATATTTTGTTGGAAGCCACCCGCTGCACCCATTCTTCATTTTTGGAGCAGCAGCTCTGAGTGCGATGGATACACGGACTGTATTTACCTGACGTGACACAACCTTTTATATTTTACCAAAAAATTGAGTAATAATTGTTTCCTAACATAGGGAAAACAGTTTCAGTACGCTTTTCTTTATAAAAAATAAAATAAATATAAAATGAATTTCACTATGACGTTGCATGACTGAATAGTCAAGAGTAATGCAGCGCTGAATACTGAAAAAATGGCTTAGACTGAAGGGGGCTTAACATCCGGTCTTCAAGTGGTTAAACAGCTATTACAGGGGGGCGTGTCCAAGATGGCAACCGGAGCACACGTGTAGTAACTGTGCTCCGCCACCTATCCTACTATCCTGTTTCCCCAGGCCCCGTGGAGCGCTCGAGTGGACGGTGGATTACACCCAGATCAAGCCCTGATCCCGGGGGTATGTCTCGGGGGCGCCGGAGGTCATCTACGAGCCGCCCTACTACCCCTCAGTCTCAGCCGGCCCGTGGACTGAAACAGCCGCGCGCCAGAATGGCGGCCCAGCCGGAAGCTCCGGAGTAGGCCTTGTCGAGGCCTGCCCAATTCACAGCGGTGATGGCAGTGATCTCGGGGTGCCAGAGTGCGCTGACGGCCAAGATTGACCACCTGCAGTCGGATGTCGGTCTGCTCCGGAGAGACTTGGACGGCTTTCGGGACCAGGTGGCGGCGGAAGGTAGAGTGGGCGAGGTGGAGGATGTTGTCGGGGCCCACACGGCATCCTGCAGACTAAAGTTAAGGCACTGGAGTCCCGGGCGGGGGATGCGGAGAACCGCAACCGGCGCAGTAATCTCCGGGTGTTGGGTCTGCCGGAAGGTATGGAGGGACAGGACCCACTCACCTTTGCTGAGTCCCTGATTCGATCTCTGCTCCCTAAGGCCCAGCTTACAGCCTTCTTCGCAGTTGAGCGGGCCCATCGCATGCCTTCTATCCGAGGCCCCCCGCGCACTTTTATTTTCAAGCTCCTGAACTTTAGAGACCGTAATGCTATCCTGGGAGAGAGTGCTGGGAGAGCTCAAATACGAAAAACAGCAAGCTACTTATTTTCCCGGATTACTCAGTGGAGACCCAGCGGCAACGTAAGTCCTTTGACTTGCATCCTGCAGACTAAAGTTAAGGCACTGGAGTCCCGGGCGGTGGATGCGGAGAACCGCAACCGGCGCAGTAATCTCCGGGTGTTGGGTCTGCCGGAAGGTATGGAGGGACAGGACCCACTCACCTTTGCTGAGTCCCTGATTCGATCTCTGCTCCCTAAGGCCCAGCTTACAGCCTTCTTCGCAGTTGAGCGGGCCCATCGCATGCCTTCTATCCGAGGCCCCCCGCGCACTTTTATTTTCAAGCTCCTGAACTTTAGAGACCGTAATGCTATCCTGGGAGAGAGTGCTGGGAGAGCTCAAATACGAAAAACAGCAAGCTACTTATTTTCCCGGATTACTCAGTGGAGACCCAGCGGCAACGTAAGTCCTTTGACTCTGCTAAGGCTGCCCTAAGAGCCAAGGGGATCAGATACAGCATGCTCTTCCCGGTGCGCTTGCGGGTGCAGGATGGGGAGGCTGCTCGCTTCTTTACTGATCCGGAGGAGGCCTGCAAATGGGTCGAACATCTGCCCAAAACCTGAGATTTCTAGCCGCTGTTTGGATTTCTATTAAGGGGGGAGAAGGATGGACCCCTCTCCTGTATATTCCGGTCCGGGAAGGTTGACTCTTATGGTTCTATTTTCTATATTTGTTATCCACTATTCTTTTTGAGTTTGGACGGCTACCTTCTTTTTGTTATCCCAGACCTAGGACCCTTCGATCTACGGGAATCTATAGTGTTTTTCCTGGCCCTCCCCCTAGACTCTCGTATGGCATTGGATACCCCCTTTACGACCAGGGAGCTGGAGCTAGCAATCGCCTCCCTAAAGACGGGCAAAACGCAGGGGCCGGACGGATTCCCGGTGGAATACTACAAGGCTCATGTCGGGACGGTCACAGGACCCATGCGCACAGTGTGGGACAGGGTGAGGAGGGGACGGATGCCGGAAGGCACTGTCTCCCCGGAAACACCACTTTGGGGAAACCCGAGCTTGGCTCATTTGCTCTCTGTCCCGGAGCCCCACTCCTTCCCTCTCCCTTTTCTCCTCGGCTACTCCTGCCCTTCTGATGCTGACCTGGTATTCCTTTTCATCCCCCTCTTCGGCCCCCCTTTCTTTGCTGGACTGCTCCTTCCCTCTGCTCCTCTCCCCCCTCATCTTACTCCTCTCCTGGACCCTATGGGGGCCTGCCCTCAGTGGTCTGGCTGACGCTGGGTTTTGTTTTGGTAGTGTCCCAGAAACAGAGTGTAATGATCCACAAGTCGATTTATTTTGATGTATTTGTCTACTTGTATCTGTATCTTTATTTTTTGAGTTATCATTATTGTATTGTCTTGTACTGACTACTGAAATGCGGAGTTTAGAATGTTGATCTGTAATTGTCATCGTCTTACTGTGATTGTTTTATGTATGAAAATTCAATAAAAACTTTACCTGTTAAAAAAAACAGCTATTACAGAACATTTTCAATAGTATATTTAAAAAAAGAGCAAATAAGCAAGGTTCATTGTTAGGATTTATATACATTTTGAATGCCTTGTAGTATTCAAATGTGAACACTTTCTGGCAAAGTCAATATAGGGGTTTGCACAGCTCCACCTTCCTGATGAACCAATTTGGCCAGCATTCAAGAGGTGGGATAGCCAGCTTCCAACTCATCGTGGACTTTTTTCTTTACATACAGAGTGCTCTTACATTTTGGCCTCCTGCAGAGCTAAAAAGAAGACCTTTCAAAGTCAATTGGGAAAATAAATAATGAGAGATATGTGCAGCCACCACTAGATGCAGACAATTTTAGAGATTAGGTTAAATGATAAGCTTATCAATTAGGTAAAGATTAGAGGTCAGGGACTATTTAGCTCATGTAATATTTACATGTTTGTGTCACTAAATGACCTGCCTCAAAAACTATAGCTGCCAATGCTGAAAAAGTATGTATTGTTCATTTAAGATTCTGGTGTACAGACACAACTCACAGCAGGAGTCTGCCCATGCCACCGACCCTGCAGATTAAATTCCACCATGCCTATTCCATCTTAACAAGCCATCAGATTTCTCCTGGCATGATTTAGTACTTTAGTTAGTGGTTAATACTGCTCCTCACACTGACAGAATTTTATGCACATCTGCCTCTGGGTAACCTCTATGGGATGTGGATTCAGGAGCACAGAGCAAACTACACTTTCCGTTATCAGAAGGAAAATTTCTCATCCTCCACAGAGATGCCTGGGGACCGCAGAGGACGCTGTTTAGCCACTCGTGCACCACTGACTTCTTAACTATTTGGGACATGAAGCAGATTTTAAAATAGCAATAAACTACAAGGTGGGACAGGGTGTGTATACGGAAAACAGCAGCTATGAAGCACAACTTGCACTACTGATCATAGAAAGATATTAGTGAAATTGATTAACATGTTTAACTTACAGCAAAATGTTGCATCAACTCCTCCTTTTCTTTCTCATAAAAACCAGAAATTGATATTGTTTTGGGTCGATGATCCACACTCATATGATTTAATGACCCTCTACCCCTTCCGCCACGACCTCGTCCTCGCCCTCTGATTTGGGTAGATATAGACTTGCCCCGTCCAGCAGGCAAAATTCCTAGCCGAGCAGCCTGTACAGATTGAAGGAGGGGGAAAAAAAAAGTCAGTCAAGCAACTGTCAAGTTTAAAATAAATTTAATAAGACTACAGGAAAAAAGTGAAAGTCAACCAGTGAACAGCTATCCAGAAAAAAACACAACTGTGCAAAGTTTCTTGCAATGTGCGACATACATTTCGTGTGTGTGTGTGTGTGTGTGTGTGTGTGTGTGTGTGTGGGTGGGTGTGTGTGTGTGTG